ACATAGCCTAAATAGAAGATTTTAGTATATTGATTCAGAATAAAAAACTACAGTAGTTAGACAAAAATAATTTATCTCAGTAATTCTTATCCTGTACTATCAATATACAAACTTTTTAAAATTGCATATTCCTGCTTTAACAAACATTAACCAACATGTCTCAAGGTTCATCTTATGTAGTCTCTCTCCTGCCTCCTTACTTGGTTTAGGTCAATTAACTCAGTGAAGGTACATTAGAGAACAAAAAAAATTCCTCACAACTAAACAAGTAAAACCAGTAACTTACCTCCACTTAACAGCTTCATAACCAGCCAAAGTTCATCCTTCACCACAAAAGACGTGTAATAGGTTACCACATTGGGATGATTGCACTGACTCATTGCTTGAATTTCTTTCTGGAAGAAATACAAAGCCCACCATAACAGGCAGGTATCAGTTCTGCTTGTGTAGGAGAAAGTTTAATCTCCAAAGTGAAATAATACATGAGAACTGAAGTTTGCACAGCATATGCATTGAGGCACCAAAATATTTCAATTTACCTACAGATCTGTATACAAGATACAACACTACTGTGAAGAAGACAAGGGAAGTTGTTCAGGAGATACAGGCATAACTACAGCAATTTTCTTCTGAGAGAAGAAAATTACTGTTAAAAGCCCCAAATTCAGACTAACCAATGAAAAATGAGCAGCCTCCAAAAGCTGAATGTGTGGAGACAGGCTGGACAACAAACGCAAGGTAAGATCAAAACCTACTGCCTTTCCTGTTCAAAAGGGATATGAAAAGATGGGACAGGAAGAAACTGTTGGACAAACTAACTCAGCTAACAGTGGGATGGACAGGTGGACACCAGAGCCACACAATCAAAACAAGCACAAGAGGAAAAAGCAGTGTTACAGACCAAAAGTCAAAGGCAACAACTGACTAGGGGAGCATGCAGTCACCAACAGATGCACAACATGGCACTGCCAAGTAACACTATCTATGACACACCACAGCTGTACAAATTAAGAATGACTCCCTTGTATCTGTTATTTCAAGCCAAGCCCTTTTTCTATTCACTCTTTCACATAATGTCTCTGTAACACCTTTCCAACATCTCTTATCATCCTGCCTATCCTTTACATAGGAGTGCTTAGGCCCCTTCTGTACAAAAGGGTTTGGCTTCAGACAAAATTCAGCTCCCACAACCTTACTTATCCCTCTCCACTTCTGGCCACACAACCCTGATACAGCCCTGGTGCTGGACAACATGGCTCTGAAGAGTGAGCCAGTTGTGGAGCCAATTTAGCTAAAACCTGAACTCTTCCACCTCCTCTCCCTCCCTGAAAAGCAACTGCTTTCAGGTGGACCCATACTGCACTCTGACCCACCAGCACTGGTGCAAGCACTGCCCCGCTTTGATTAAAGCTGCCACAGATACCTTTTTCAGCTTTCAACTTCAATTCAGCAAGTTTTCGAAAGAAGAGGTTTTTTGTTGTTTTTATTTGCAATGCACTTGAGATCGCAGTCAATTTCTAATAAGAATTTAATTGTATGTATTAAAGAATTATTTAATCTCATTATGCCTGTTGGTGACTATTAAGTCAGGTCATAGTTTGACACACATTTCAGCTAGTCCTGCTGACTAAAGTCGCCCTCCCTAGACAAATTCTGAGCCCTGAACCACAGAAGGTTGAATGACTGGTTAGTCATGCAATGAGAAAACAGAAGAAAGATGTGGGGCTCACTTGCCTTTTCAGCAGACATGTCAGGTTAAACACAAGCCAAATTATTGCCTCAGGTTCTTAATTCAGCTATCCACACCAAATCTTAACTGTAGCTCTCACACTGTTTATTACTATTTAATTTCTTGTGTTGTTTTATTGCTTTCCTGTGCTGATAACAATTGCTTAAAAAGTCTACCTGCCACTACTGGGCAAAAATAAGCCTCACCTCTTTTACTCACATACAAATAGTATGCAGAAATCTGACTAATTGACTGTGGTAAGCTTCATTATCTTTAACAGGAAAGTGTTTTGAATATTTTGTGTGCCTGTATCAACTTGTCAGCAAAAACTGAGCTATCACATGGCCAAAGGCACCTTGTGTCTCAGCTTTGAGGACTTTTTCCAAAAAGACTCTTTGCAAAACAAAAATAAACAAATTGAAAGCACCCCATGAGTGATATGGAAATTTTAGACAGGAAAGTATTCATTTCAGACTTGCAGTTCTGAAGAGCTGCTACACATAGATGTTGGCCTCCACAACATTCAGTTATTTCCCTGACAATACCCAGGTGAGAGAAAAAAACATTTACTTAAAATAAACTGTCAGAGCAAAAATTTGCAGCAAGATGTCCAGAAGATCACCCTGGAGCTTTCTTCACATTCACATCAGTTTAGAAGTTCAACAGAACCAAAGCCATAACAGCATTTAAGAATTAAGTCTCTACCCTCATCCTTCTGTTTCTCCCCTCATCCCTGTTTCTCCCTCCCTTGTGCTAGCACAAGTGTTTGTGCACTGCATCAGGAAACACGTCCAGGTTAAAAGCTAACTTCATTTCGGCCAGGTTATTCCAGAGCAGCTGCACAAAAATGCGTGAGCCTGAGGGCAGGTGGGGGACACAGTTAATGAGCAACTAGGAGACAGCTCCTTTTGCTGTTCAGCTGCAGCGCCCGAAGGGCCGAGTCCAGCTCCCAGGGATCAGGCAGGTGCTGCAGGTCTGTGGGTGCGTTCCCAGAGCCTTCTCCACCAACACCCAGGGCACGGCCATCTGAGAGGCTAGGCATAAGAGGCAAGGGGCTCCGCCAGAGCATCTGCCTTGAAGGGTCCTCCAGATCAGAAAGGCAAGCGGTTTAGAAAATCTACTCAATCAAATCAGCCATTTTATAGAACATTATTTGGTTTGTAGTGTTGAGGTTTTTGTTTTAAAAACCTGCAGGTAAGGGGGACTGGGGAAGATAGCCAGTCAGGACAATACTAAGGACAGGAACTTTCTCCTTGGCTCAGGGGGTTTAGTTACATTTAGCTTACAATAGTGACAAAGCAGGACATTGCAGGAAACAGAGTATTGAATTTCAATTTGGCAGTTTGTGTAGCCTTAGTATTATTTAAACTCCCTCCCCCACTGCCTTTCTATTTCAATTGACACTGGCCCAAATCTTAAGTCTGCTTATGCGGGCACCAGGCTTCTGCATTTTCCATTTCTCTGAAGGCCACACAGCTGAGAATTTGTGAAGGGTGCCTGTGCAAACTATCTGTAAGCCCTCAGCGGCAGGACTTTACAAAACAGCATGTTAAGAGGACAAACAGAGTTTTAGAGCATCCCTGTGCCAATAGAAACTGTTTAGTAAGAAAAATAAGTGATTAAAAACTAAGAACTGAGAAAAAAAATGGTCTTAAAAAAATGCAAGAGAATCCTAAATATTACTGACTAAAATAAAGATCTTAGTTTTAACAAGAGTTTTGAAGGTCAAGGATGCCTTTTTCCAGAATAACAACTCTCCTTTTTAAACAAAATTTTTAAGTCTCTCTATTAGAACGAGGTTGAAATATAGTTCTACTCCCAGAAAAAAAAATAAAAAAATATATATATATGTGCATCCATGCACATGTGTGTATGCACATATAAAATAACTGGAGTTATATGCAGCCTTTTTTTTAATATATGCCCCTCCTAACCAGGAACTGAGAAAGACAGAATTTATGTTCAGCTCAAAACAGATCCACAAATAAAAGAAACACAAAAATCTGAACATAGAAAAGCAGAAATCAACATATATTTTAAGATAATAAAGATGGTATGGACAGTTGTCTTCATACAAAAAGCAGGCAATATGGGACCAAAAACTTGAGACCTATTGCTTCATATGGCAGACACTGGAGACATGTCAGCAGTAAAGACACTCAAGCACTTGCTAAGGTTAACTTTGTACAACCTACTAACTAACTGCAGTAATTTCTCAAGACCACTTGGGATAACTCTTGCAGATTTTTGGCAGTTTTGCTTATTTTTGTTTGTTCTAACTTTTTAATTATTAATACTTATTACTTCAATTCCAATAAAGATCAAAATTTCACCATTTTATATTACAATGACTTCTAGTTTTATGAAAACGTTCATCTTGGGCTGTAGATGTTAATATATCATGCACAGCATCTCACTTTTGGCTGTTCTTTTTTCTAAACACAGTTCAGAATTTATCTTTTGATATTTTAGATGACAGAATTCTTACACCTCAGAGGCAGCTTCCACTACCACAATTCTCTTTCAAAAAAAACCACAACAATCTCTCATATAAGCTGTTATATAAACTGAAGGCAAATGCCATCAATCACCAGGGGAAGAGCATTTTGGGTCCTCCACTGTAAACAAGCCATTTTATCTGAAGAAACTGGATGGACCATACCCTCTTTATCAAATTCAAGATATCTTTTGCACTGTCAATTCCCTGCTGAGGAGATCATTTCCTTCAGAGGCAGGAATTTCTGCATTAGAAAAAGCCCACAGTCTCTAGGCAGTAGTATAACCTGTGGAACAGAAGAGAGTGTTCTCACTTTGAGAATGCTTTTGTGCCCTTCAACTCTTGTTATGCTGCCTAATAGATAAATGTGCATTAGTCTTATAAACACCTGACTAGAAGCATTAGAAAGCAACGGGTTTTGTTTTTTAACAGTTCTTTGCAATTTTGTCTGGATTGCCATAACCAGTGCAGAGGAAAAACTCTTGCAGTCCAGCTTACAAAGGGTCTCTTGCAAGTCCCTTACTCCTCTGATCAGTGACCCAAACAAACAGCATTCCTCAAATGGCTTGTTATGGCCTATCAGATTAATGCATGTTATTAGCTTTAACAAGAGTCTCCTTGTGCAGACAGTATAGCCACTCCTACTTTTCCCCTCAAAAGTCATCATTACAAAGTGATCCAACAACTAGTTTGTGCCATGTTTTGGTGCTTTAGACATTTTAAAGAGACCTACTGAATTTACCTTTGCATTTTTAATCGGCATTTAACCAAAGGAAAATGTGTCTTCCATCAATATTAAGAAAAGACAGACATCCAGACAGCAATCACTTGCCAAAAAAGCCCCCAGAAAGTAAGAAGTAAGGTTCTCCCCACAGTTCGACAGTTGTTTATCCCAAGATTCAAATTTGCATTTTTGTGGCATTAGAAAACACACATTTGTAAAATATATTTTAGGAGAAGTGCATCCTTCTTTCAGATTATTTTCAAATCCTTTTTTCACTATTATCTTTCATGAAAGTCTACTGGCGCTCTCAGACCAAGCAAAAAACAAAAGATAGTCTCCATGTAATACATTCCCATTTGATTTACTTACAAGTAATTCATCCATACTGGTTTGGCATTTTTCTAAATTGATCCTCTTTATTGCTACACGTTCTTGTCTGGGTTTGCATAGCGCTGCCTGGACAACTGCTGTAGCACCACTACCTGAAAAGGCCAGAAAAGGAACACAGTCTTAATACAACAGGAGTTTAAAACAGTGACCAACATAATAACCCCAAACTGCAGAGGAACTTGAAATCTGCTGTTTACCCTATTTCAGTGCTTTCCCCACATGCATGCCTTTCCACTAGCAAGACAGCTTGCACACTTCTCAAATGGAAAGAAAAACCTCTAAGTTTCTGTCTGTTCAACTCAGTATGATGTATTCACATAGCAAGTCACACCCACCCCCTTCAATGCATTTCCTACTGTTTGAGAATCATTACATTTTTGTCTTTGGACACATCTGTTTTAATCAATAACATGACTTGCACAGTTACCACAAAAACACTGGAGGGGGTCAGCACGCAGGGAGTCTGTGTGTACTTTATGCAATGTTATTTCTTTCTGATCTCTTAAGTCAGTCCCTGTTCAACCAGATTTTTGTTCCCACTATGCAACAAACAAAAATATCACTACATGCCAAACTGTACATGCCAAATCTTCTACCATTTCACCTGTCTTCCTGCTTATTCATCATGATTAGGACAAAATCCTACAGAAAACATGCTGATTCTTGTAAGGAGTGCAGGAGGCACAAGTATCACACCAATGAGAAGATGCACATTGCTGAACAGCCCAGCAGAGAAAGTCAGTCATGCTTACTCAGCATGCATATCACATGTGGTCAAAGCTTGTGTGGAATCGAACCAATTTTGGGAAAAGCATTAGAATCATTTTCTTTAATATGTTTAATTTGCAAAAAGCAGGAGTGAAAGATCTTATAGATTCTTTTATTAAGCACTCACTGGCTTGGCCCCAGTCAGTATTGTCTCACTAAATTAACAAAATTATTGCAAGTAACGTTCAGAGTTTTGCCCAGGTTGCACATCTTGCTGCCACATCAAATACAGCAGTGTGTGCTTCCTCAAAGTAATTACATCATGCTCATTCATGCAGAAATTTAAAATCTCCCGACTGGTAATTCTAACTATTTTAATATAAATTATGGATTTCTGGTAAGTCATGAATTGAGCAACATATTGTATTGGCCTGCTCACACACTATCTTCTATGTATGCTCAGAAATTGGCATGTCCTAGATGAACACAAACTGTGAACAAAAAGCCTTTTGTTTCAAGCTCTACAGATGTGGATTCAGTTACCAGCGGATTGAAGAACAATTGAGAGCTTTTCCTGCTGCACATCAGAAAACAGCACTGACAATACCTCATGACTAAAAGTTATTGTCCATGTTTTAATTGTTATTTGCTTTGCTATTTTCATGTACTGTTTGTTCATATGATGTTTTCACTCAAATCACAAAGCTTTTTAACTCCTTTTTAACTCAGAGTATTAATTTCTTTGCAAGATTCTGAGCTCATCTTAAAAAAAGTCTCAACAGGACTAACTAGTCATGTTTTTGCAGGATGCGGTCACAGACAAATATTGACATGTCCTGTTCTGTTTGCTTACAGAACAACGCCTTTAAAAATTCCACTAATGTAAGTAATAAAAGAATTGAGATTTTTAAAAGAAAATAAGACATTCCAAGGAAGGAAGCACCAAGTCAGCACTGTTCAGCTCAAGACCCATCTACAGCACTTCAAGGTAGTTCTCATTTGGTAGACATTGAAATGCAAATCCTCTCATTACTTTGGATACACAACTGTAGGCTGATGCAGGGGGAAGAAACCAAATTTTTAGCTATTGAGGAAACAGGAACAAAGACTAATATTTTCCTTGATGTATCTTTTGTAGGAAACAACCAGATCTTCACTATAAAATTAGAATAATATACAAAGGCCACATAAAGGACAAACAGAAAAAGCACACTGAAAAATTCTTCAGCCAACACTAGGATAAAATCCTGACTCCTTTCTCAAGTTAAAGAAAAATGACAGTAAATAGCACTTCAAAACATCTTAGAAAAATTCAATTAAAAAAACCCAACAACAAAACAAACAAGTCCTGTCATATCCCTGACCCCATCCCACTATATCATTTGCTTGAGTTCTGTGAGGCCCCAAACTGAAGACCATATGCTTGCTATTATTAAAAAACTTCTAATTGCAAAATTAATCCTGAACTATCCTTATGCACAAGATCTGTTCCTCTTTTGCTTGCTGAAAGAGGATGACATGAGATTTGAGGACAAACTACAGCATAAAGTTTATTTCTATGAAAAGCGTTCAGCACATTTCACACTTGCAGTGGGATATTCTTTACCACAAGAATATGATGTACTCACAATGCAAAAAGCTTTCTATGTTTAGAATACAGCAAATCTACCTAGATTTCTTCTTTCTCCTGCCTTTTGAACACTCTAAGCAATAGAGTATTTTGATAGTAAAGGTAATCTGTAGTCTGGATTCTCAGTGGGACCCATATATAAAATCCATTTGAAAATTTCAAGTACTTAAGTTGAAGTCTGGCACTTAAGTGTCTGTGTGCCTTCTTCCTTTTAAAATGTTTTCCTCTTCTCTGGCTCACAAGATGAACAGCCAGGGATATAGATTAGGAAAATCTGTAGCTTTCCCACCTGGTCAGAAGACTCCTTTTGCATCAATGAAGAGAGAAGGCTCTGAGAAGACCTTATAGTAGCCTTCCAGTACCTGAAGGTGGCCAACAGGGAAGCTGGGAAGGGATTTTTTACCAGGGTGTTTAGTGAGGGGTAATGGTTTTAAGCTGGAAGAGAGGAGATTTAAGTTAGACATTAGGAAGAAATTATTCTAGTGTGAGGGTGGTGACATACTGGAACAGATTGCTCAGGGAGGTTGTGGCTGCCTGCTCCTGGGAAGTGTTTAAGGGCAGGTTGGATAGGGTTTTGAGCAACCTGGTCTAGTGGAAGGTGTCTCTGCCCATACATGGAGGCTGGAACTAGATTATATTTAAGGTCCCTTCCAACCCTAGCAATGCTATGATTCTTCAGTCTACTAAACAAGTAGAAATGTGAATCCAGAGGAATAGCTTTTATAAATCGGACCAGCCGAATACGCTTTTCAGTCAAGACATAACAGACTACTAGAGTAATCCACTATCATACAATGAAACAAAATTGTCACAGACAACCATTTAGCATAACAAATTAAGGTTACAGAAAATAATTACATATCATAGATTACCGTCAATCATTCCTTGTCAGACACATCACTTCTTCAGGTATGTTGAACCTTACTGACTACACCACAACTAAAGCCCAGACTGATTTTAGCATCCAGTCTCTATTTAGAAAACTCATCTAGTATAATGAATGCTCAGGCTGGATAAAACATGAAGCCTTTACATCCAGCTGTCTCCTGCAGAAGAACAAAACAAAGGATTACTATAATGGGCACACTCACAAACCCAGCTTTGTAAGAAATATTTTTTCCACTACTGGAAAAGTTGTCATCCTGCTACACACAAGTTCTCTTTGTCAATTTCAAAAGTTAGCAGTGAAATAATGCAATTTCAGACCACATCAAGTTGCCCGTTGTGAAATGGGAGTAGCAGACATTAAGTCAGTGTTTCGTATTGTCCTTATATTTTTTGCTGCCACCCTTGTCTCTAGTGCAAGCATGCCCTTACAGCCAACCTGTTCTTTCATGTGCTACCATTGTGCCCTCCATGCAGCAGAACCATTAGAATGGCTTTTAATTATTTGGGTTCATGCAACAGAAACCTCAAGTGCCATTACAGATTGCTACACTTAACTTCTGAAAGGACATAACCTAAAAGCAGACTCCCTGCATTCCACTTTGCACATGCTTCACGGAAAAGCATTACACCATTTGTCAGGAAAGCAGCCATGCTCTGTGACTGAGCGGGTCACATGCTCATTCCCCTCATTATCAGGCCCTGAAGGTCCTATGAATCAAGTAGGAAAACTAAAGAGATTTCTTCTTCCCTTCCTTACTAGCCTCAAGATTCCTGGGTACCAGGTTGAATACTACCTGCCTTACTGGCCTTGAAGGACATGATGAAAAACAATTAAATAAAGAAATAAACCCATTTCAGCCCAGCAGCTATGGAAAAAAAAAAAAAAAAAAAGAGATCCACTCTATAAGGTTGTCATTAGGTTAGACTACGTAAAAGAATACGCTTGCAGGAGTTTAAAGGTTCTCTGAAAGGACTCTTAAGAAGACAGAAACAAAGAACTGAGCCATAGCTAAAAATAAGACATATGTTAAGAGATATCTGTTAAACTAGCTCACAAGACAGTAGAGGGGGAAGAAAAGCTCTGAGGCACACAAGCCCTTCTCCAGATAGTGTTAGTTTTGCAATCAGATTTGCACTGGCTTCCTGCAAAACACAAAAGAATCAAACTTCACTTGCACTGCAAGAAGAAATAAAAAAATAGCAAGCAAAAAAACTTGCAGCAGGTTTTTTCACTCATGCTTCCACTGCTTTTGCAGCATGGTCAGCAGCACAGATCTGCTGCACAACCACCCAGCTGGCATACTGCACCCAGGAGTCAGCTCCTGTTGCACAATCACACTGGAGCTGCCATGTGATAAAGAGAAATGTGGATGTACTGCATTAATCCAACAAATCCCAACTCATTCTGCATTTTCCCAGTAAGAGGCATGAAAAAACTTGAAGACTAAAACTCGGTTTAAGAATTCATTAAAAACACTAATAGACATTTTGTCTGCCTTGTTACTATCCATTCATTCTCACAATATAGCTCAGATTTTCAGGTAATAACAGGAACCTCTTTATTTGTTTGGTTTGGTGTTTTTTTTTACTTACAGTTGTACCAAAAACCTAGAATCAAATTCCCAGAGCCAAAAGCCATATAAATGAATTTTTGTGTAAAACAGAATTTCTTGTTGCTTTAATATGCTGCAGTTAGGTTAAATATTACATCATCGACTTAACAAGTTGGGTTTTTTTTATTATTAAATTTAAACTTTTTCCTGTGATTCACAGTCTTTCACAGAAAAAAACAACAAACTTGAAGTATATGTAAAAGGTCTTGACAGATTTTGGGGTTTATAATTTCATAAAACTAGGTGAATTTTG